TGTAGATATGGCTTTCATGATGCAGTGAAACAATGGTTCCGTACTCTGTTGTTGATCCCAGTGATCCCAACTCATGGGTAGGATAGGTGGACAAGGGTCCGGAGGAGCCGACCTGGAGGGATTATGATCCAGCGATCTGTGAACGGAATGAGATCCTCTTTGGGAATGGCTCCAATGTTTGCATCCTCAATGTGTTGACAAACAATGATCCTTAGATTTAGGAGGAATTCGAGGGTTGTCGTCACACAAAAGACGTTCCATAGGAGGATGGCAAAGAGGAGAATAGTGAGTGAATCTGGTTTTACTCTGCTTTTAGCTTCACACAATGTACTCATGTTGGGAATCGAACCCGGGTCTTCGGCGTGACGAGCTTAAGCTTTAACCACCAGGCTACCCAAACGCCCCCGAAGAGGAGAATAATGGAAGTCGGTAGTAAAGCAGTAGTCGGGAAACCTTGGGTAAGGGTATCTGGTCGCTAGTAGTAAGAGTCACGATAAACCGGGTAAGCATCACATCCCTGTCAATGATCCATGTAGGTATCAACAGCCAGAAAGAGAGAGCTTTCTGAAGGATGGTCATATAAAGTCGACTGGAGCTTAGCGTGAAGCACGCCGATCGTGGCGCGGGCATTCGGTATCAGTCCGAGAGCGGTGACCCGATGAGATTTCCGATCCTGTGACTGGGAACGCCGATCCTGGGAGCGAGAAAGCCAATCCCGGGAGCAGGAATGCAGATCTTGGGAGCAGGAGCGTCTTAGAAGGTGATCGTTGATCAGAGGCGTGACGATCGGAAGTGTCCCGGGATGTAGTAGTACTTACGGCCTTATCATGACGGAACAAGCCGAATCCAAGTGCGGTACTTTGAATGGAGAGGAGCGACCAGCTGCTTGAACGAGAGTGTGATTAGGATCGGTCAGTTGTACTGCTCGGACACTGACCTGATTAGGAGTGTTCAACAAGTCAGGATTTGACAAATCATCTGTATGAAAACTGTCCAAGATCGTCTCATATGTGAAGAGCTGGTCTTAGATTTCTTAGACGAATCTCCTGCCTTAGAAAGCTGATCGAATATTCTGCGATGACATCACTGGATATATACTTGAAAGGCAGAATCAGATAAGGCATGACATACTGTACATCGAGAGACTCAGGAGCACCAAGGAGCACTGTCCGCGACAGTCCCAACATTAGGAGTGAGGGTCCGATGTAGAATTAGTATTGCAGCATTCTTTACAAGCAGGTCGTTGTCTGTCCTTTTTGCCCATAATTATAGCCCGTAGAACACTTGACAAACCGTGTCAAAAGACAAACAAATTTCTCTTGAAGTCAAAACACGCCACCACACAGTGGCAATGAGAAAGAGAATGAATTGGTTGAGGTGTACAATTGGTCAGTTCAGGCAGTTTTGCCATGCATGGGAAGCACACAAATGACCTAGCTTCTGGACATAACCATAGAGATGCAGGGGTGTTCGGGTGAATGTTTTTATTTCAGAAGCTGGAAACATGGTTCAAGCACGTTTCCACATGGGATCGAAAAAAGAAGGAAGAAATGCAAAGTGTGAGTTTATAAACTTAACACTGTCAACATGGTCAAACAATGTCAAATACTTAGTTTTGTTATTGTTTCTCTGAACAAAATAAAAAATACATCAACTGTTGACTTGTTAATATATATTCGTGATACGTATAGTGTATTCGTTGCAGCCCTTGTTTAAATCGACTAAACCTATATGATTTCTTCTACATACTGATGTAAACACCTTCCTGAATATGATGATTGGTAAATTATATCCTTCAAAATTACAGTCACTTCATATATACTCACAAGCAGAAGAAACGCAAGTCGAGTATGCAGTATATATGTTATTTATTTTCAACAGTAAAGACAAGAAATACTAATAGGGCAAGATTGACAAAAATTTGACTGAAGACAGCTTAATGAATTAAAAGGCAGATGACATAATTGTTTTTTTCAAATGTTAAGGGCTTACACAGTTTCGGGTCAATACCCAAAATGTCAGTCAATACCTGGTGTGACCACCATTAGCATTGATCACTGCCACACATCTCCTGTACATTGAGTGGATCAGACGATTTGTGAAGGCCCTAGGGATCCTCCTGCACACATCCAGAGCAGCTGTGCGTAGTTCATCGTCAGTTGTAGGGACTGGGCGCACATTGTGCAGACGCCTTTGAACCTCATCCCACAAGTGTTTGATAGGTTCAGATCAGGGCTGAGGGCTGGCCACGGTAGAACATGGATGTTGTGTTGTTGCAGAAAGGCCATGGTAGCTCTGGCAACATGGGGACGAGCGTTGTCCTGCTGGAAAATGTGTTCTTGATGTTGTGCAAAAAATGAACAACGTGGGGTCTGCAAACTTGGTCGATATACCGCTGAGCAGTCACGCCGTGTCCCCGACCTTGACCAACATTCAGAAAGCACATGGGTCCAAGTCTCGCATTAAGTCCAATCCCTGCCCACATCATGATGCTAGGTCCACCCCATGGATCCCTTTCCACAATGTTTCTGTCAGCGAAACGATCACCTCAACGCCGCCAAATTCTGACTCTTCCGTCTGCATGGGAGACACAAAAGCGACTTTCATCAGAGAAGATGACACGCCTCCACTCACGATGACGCCAATTGCGATGACCCTGTGCCCACTGAAGTCATGCTTGTCGATGCCGTGGTTGGAGGACGTGCTGGTCGGCGACATCTGAGGTTGTTGGAACGGAGACGTCGGATCACAGTGTCCCGGCTAATGTGTCGATTATGTGTTCCTATGGTCTGTTGAGCACTTTCACTTGCAGTTAGGAATGGATGTCGCTGGTGTTGACGGCTAATCTGCCAATCTTGTCGAGGTGTGGTGACCCTAGGGTGACCGCTCAGAGGAAGGTCATCTGTGGTCTGTGTAGCATTGTATCAATGCAGGAGACGGTAAATTGTGGTTATGTTAACGTTGAAATGACGGGCAACATCTTGGACAGACTCTCCAGCTTCCAAACGTCCGATAGCCTGGTTTCTCTTAATTTGAGTAAGGCGTGGCATTGTTGACCAAGGAGTGGTAGGTCCAAGAATCGGACACAGTTTTATACCCACTACAGTTCATGACGGTTCATGCATTTTTTATTTTGCGAGAAATGGGTGCATGATACCCACATAGTCATTGAAATGGTGCGTTTTGGCGATTCGTTTTTTATGTTGCGTTTTTACTCGCGGCTTCCAGAATGCAACCAAAAATATTGATAACACCATCAGGCTTCACTACATGCTAAAACTCGTATCAATTTATGGTTCCGTGTTTGTTACCTATTTGCTTAAAACCACTTGCGTTGCTTTTGCATGTGAGTATATTTACTGTTTAATGTTGGTGTATTCTGCTACAAACATTTTCAGAAATGACATCAATAAAATAATGTTACAAGGTCTGCGATTTCTGTTTTCTAAAAGAGAAACGTGATCAGATACACATTTGTAACTCAGCTTTTGAGACACAAGAGAAACTCGAAACAAAACAACAATAAGTTATGTGTGAAGTAAACATTATTTAATAAGTTGAAATAGATATTCTAGTGCATCTTGGGACACCTGTGGGTTTCTTTCTTGTGTCACAGTATTGCAATTTTTTACAGCATTAATGCAAACACTGTGATGATCATGGATCAGTACACAAATGGGTTGGAACTCCTGTATTCCCTGAGGCAGAGGCATTTGTACAGGACATTTGTACAGGAAGTCATGTTTAGGAGGGAAGTAGAAGGGACAGATGCTCTAATCCACAGAGTGACCTAGGTGCCATCAGACAAGAAAAAGAATATGGCCTATCTGGATTTCCTGGAAGGCACACTGGCAAAAGTTCATCAGCTTACCCAAAATACACTAAAAAAGCCAGAAGAAACAAAAGACAGCTACATGATATTTGGAGCAAATACAAGCCTTTCCCCACTGGGGATCTACTACTTGTAAAGGATACTACAAAATCCAAAGGGAAATCTCTTAAATTTACAACCTTTTTGTAAAGGACCTTATTTTGTGACTGCTGTGCTTAGAACATTCTTGTATGAAGTGAAAGGCAGGAAATAAAGAAAATCCTGCGATACCATAGGTGAAAACAATGCATCACTACAATTTGATATAGTGTGTGCATCCTAGTTATCTGTAGCGCCATCCATACCACACAGATTATAAAGATGTTACTGTATCACCACATTTAGTGCAGCAGTTTCTGAGATAGAAATATTTGTTTTCAACAATGTCAGCAATGACCAAAGTCACAAGCTGAAGTCAGAACAGACAACATGCAATCCTTTCATCTAAGTTGAAGTTTCACATGGTGAGCTACAATTTATATGTTTCCTAGCTCTGATAATAAAACAATATGTTCAGTTTGACCTTGAAGGAATTATTGAGGAAGTGAAGACACCATCCATTGGAAAGCCATCGATCATGTCGATATGTAATTCCACAACAATGCTTTATTCACTTTGATCTTAGAAGCTTTTTCATTATGCAGTATCCTCCTTTTGCACACTTCACCACGTCTGGTTTGCAAGTGAGGCTTGGAGTGGCACAAGGTGAAGGATGTGTTAGTTCAGAACAATGCCAAGTAATGACACAACGATGTTGTTTATTCAGTTATGTTCAAGTACAGACATGTATGTGTGCACACAACATCAAACATGATCACTCATTGGGTGCTGCCATTTTGAATGGCATCTATCTCTTCGTTGCAAACTAACAAGCACATGGCACACATTGAGATGTCAACAAGGCAAATTGTATGAGAACTTTTCAGAGACAGCATAGCTGGGATCATTGTACAAAGTTTCAGCTCCAAAGGCCTTGCAGTTTTAGAAGAGATGTCGAAAATGAAAAGTTAAGAACAGACTGACAACATACCACGACATAAGCTGACTTGACTTTTAGTCAGGTGAGCTAAAAATCACAGAGAAATTTGAATATTCCAGAAAATAAACCTTGTTTAGATGTATGACTTACCCCAGCTAATCCCAACATCATCCTCATCTTGACAGCTCGTGATATTGCTTTTTTTGATCGGCGTCCAGATATGTGTGGGTTTAAGGCAGACATTTTCCCTGACTTGGGTGTTGGCATAGGTACAAGTGGGGTTCTGTAACAGCACAAGCAACAGTTCTTTTGATAGCTTCAAAGTCATAATATCCACAGCATATGTCCCCCTCTCACAACAATGATTACCTACCTGCATGGGATAAGGTTTCTAGACTGACAGCATAAACCTACATACCTGCTGAGTGATGACAAATCTTAACCCTCTTGGGTGCCACAGGACCCTTTACGGTCCCTCACTTTTCACAGCCAGTTAGTGCCACAGGACCCTATATGGTCCGTCACTTTTCACAACCAGTTAGTACCACAGGACCCTATATGGTCCCTCACTTTTCACAGCCAGTTAATGTCACAGGACCCTATACGGTCCCTTACTTTACACAACCAGTTAGTGCCACAGGACCCTACATGGTCCCTCACTTTTCACAACAAGTTAGTGCCACAGGACCCTACATGGTCCCTTACTTTTCACAACCAGTTTGTGCCACAGGACCCTACATGGTCCCTCACTTTTCACAACCAGTTAGTGCCACAGGACCCAATATTGACCCATTTCAACTGTGATTAAGATATCAAACACTGAGTGTGCAAAATCAAAATTGGAAATTTTCCAATATATTGTATATTTGTGAAATACCTCACACTTCTTTCTTCTTCAATCCTATGTGGAAACGTGCTTGAACAATTTCCAGCTTCTAACAAACAATTCACCTGAACACATCCCAGCATCACCATGGTCACCACCCATACAAATGGGTCACGCATGTAATCCCATGCATAGCAACCTACATGATCAGATCACGTGCTTATCCCTGCCACATCATTCTCTTTCGTCACAGCTAACAGGCTAGTGGAGCTGTGATGCGGGGATGGTCAGGTGGGTATATAGCATGTGAGATAGGATTAGAGTATACAAATATTTAATTTATTGGAAAATTTCAAACTTTTTAAACTGATCCTATCTCACATTATGCATTTATCCCACGGATGGAAGGTGAGGCTCAGATCACCTAGCCTGTATAGACTACAACCATGAGACGTACACGAGGAAGCTGGTTCTAACAGTGAAAGAAATAAAACATTTAAAACACTGCCTACTGTTGTAAAGGACAATAATACATGAGCAGGAAAACACACTAAAATTGGTGACATGATCCCACAAGATTGTGGAGCGTTTGAAGGTCGGGGTTGGAGAATTCATCTGTGAGCAAACTGTCAGGAAAAGTATCAGCTGTGAGGGACATTACAGGCTCTTCTGATGGAACTGAGGAACTTGCTTTGGATTTCTTAGATGATTTCTTAGATGGCTCCTTGGCCTTAGATTGACTGTCCAATAATCTACGGCGACATTACTGGAAGTAGATGCAGAAAGCAGTCCAATGAGCACTGGCCGCGACAATCACAGCACAAGGAGTGAGGGACCAAAGTAGTGTATTCTGAGCATGCCAGAAGTTGTCTGTCCTTTTTGCCCACAGTATAGACTGTGTTAATTCACAGAGACTTTGCAAAAGAACAAAAAAAGAACTTCTCTAAGTTGTCAAAACACGTCAACACACAGTGGCGATGAGAAAGAAAATGAGTTGGCTGAGGTACACATGTGGTCAGCAAGAGAAAGCTCACCCTGCACGGGAGCACGAAATTGACAAAGTTGTTGGTGGCAACTTTGGAGATACTGTAGTGTGTTTGGGGTGATTGTTTTAGAAGCTGGAAATTTAGGATCAAAGAGTGTGAGATAGGACAAAGATGAAGTGGCAGGCCCTGATCACAATCGCAGAGGGGGAATACACTTGAACCAGCCCACCATCCTACCATGGGATAATTGCAAACTGTTGGCAGAGCTGGCAGTGGCTAAAAGCAAGATGACTGGTAGACATGGACATAGGCCTATTGAGGGTTGCAAGTTGGCCTGAGCCTCAGTACTCCATCATGATGATCTCTCCATAGGTACTCACCCAGTACTCAATCGACTTCTTACTGGAACATGTAAAAACACGACTTATTTTCCTTAAAAGGAATTTATCCATCACTCAGTCAGCCTAATTGGAAGAACCAAATAAGCCTAAAACAGAAGCTACACTCCCATTGGCTTTGAAAAAGACAGGTTTCCTCCTTGCCATAGCAACTGCCAAAAGAGATGGATGAATGTTGACATCAGCTTCTGTAGAACTTGTTGAAGCTGCGCTGGTAGTGGGAACGATTCAGTGTGCAGAATGTCTCACCCAATGTAGGGGTGGTGAGTCCGCACAGTCGGTGAAAGAGACCCCTGGGAAGACATTCAACCCGAGGGCCCACCATTGGAGCCAGGGCCACAGGGAGCTGGGAGTGAAAGAATGTGTTTGGGTGTGTCTCAGTGAAACCACGCTTGCCGGGAGAGCTGAAAAGGTCAGAGCTAGAGATGCCCGTGGTATGTGGAGTCATGGGCCAGGCCGAGCAGACTTGCCACATGTGGATCATGAGACTGGAGGACAGGCTTGCTCACACCAGAGGTTGAAACAGGCCAGAATGTTCCTGGGTAAAAGGAGGAGTCCTTGACACATGTTGCAGAGGCCTCCTATGGACTGGAGTATCTGGAAATAGGCTGCTTGTCATCAGTAGAGGCAGTGACACTGGGGGCTGAACTGCAGGTGGAGGCCACGTCTGGCTGGTACCTACTGCCTGATAGTCAGGACAGGGACGCGGCAGAGGCAATTGTTAAAGAGGCCATATCTAGTGATACTGAGTCGAAACTTGCTTCTGTTTGTTGTGCGTAGAGCAGAGCCTGAGGCTGCACCTGATAGTTGGTCTTCTGGGTGGCAGTAGTTGTCTGTCATCCATGGCAGATACCCCTGATACAGGTCATGTTGGCTCCTTGCAGGAGGGCATGGTGCATCCATGTGAGGGTGGGGGGCATGTCTCGAAGTGTCTGTGAGAAACATTGATAAGCGAGGCGACATGTAGGCGCCTGGCATCAATGTCACTGATGAGGCTCAGGAGGTGATGCTAGGCACCATGGTGGTGCTAGTGGTACAGGTGCTTGAACAGATGGACAGCCGAGATGACACTTGAAAGTGATGGTGTTGTGATGGTGGCTGGTTTGAGTGGGGTATGTGGTGTATGTCGCCAGAGCCTCTGTTGCACCCTCTTGCGCAGTCTGGTGAGGTGTTCCCCAAAATGGTCGGCTAAAATGTTGACACATTTAGCGTTCCAAAGGTCGAAGACGCAAAGGATTTCTTGCTGTTGCAGTCCGAGCAGGTTTGAGGAAAGTGAGCGAGATCATCGTCCACCCCAGAGACGGGTTCAATAATGATAATGTTGTTCATTCACCCCAGTGAATGATAGATGAGCAAATACAGACATAAAGATTGCCAAGCATGAAATCATGGCATGTTACAAGACAAGTACATGACATGAACTGAACACAAAAAACACCACAATGAAAAAGGCTTTCAGACATAAACACGTCTGGAAAACAGCCCTTTATTGTTTCACATATAGAAAAACCACTGGGTAAAAACCAAATGACAACACAGGTCAATTCCCAGTCAGTAATGCAAGAGTGCAGTTAACACAACAAGTCATGTCAGTTGAGTGATGAAGGAAAATGTGATGTAAACACAAGAGCATGCAGGGTACGATGTGGTTGGCGGGTGTGTACGATGGAATGTTCTACAAGATGAAGCAAGATGGAATATTGCATACTGTTGTGGAGGGATACGTTAAAATATATGCTACAATATATCCAGATAAAAACGTGTCACTACATCAATGCTGCCCAGAAACACTCACATTTTTCACATTAATTTCACACTCATATTGATTATTTATTATCTAGTACTGGCTTCCACAGGAAATATCACATGTTAAAGATGAAACAATACTCATCAGGAGATACTAAATGCTACTGGTCAACTGACAAAGGCCTTAACTTGAGGTTAAAATATTCAAATCTTGTCTCTCTTACCACACATGCTTGTAGACCCAAACGCATGTATACTTAATAAAACAAGCACACCATTCCCTTCATCATCCCCTTCTCAGTGCTATCAGCCTCTACTCATCCCTTTAAGGTCTAGGATATTAAAAGGCTTGAGAGGTCCTCACATTCTCAAAGATGCCCTTGTAGGAGTTCCTTTATGCAAGCAGAAAGGAAACTTCGTTTAAGGGACAATACATTTGTCTAGTCATTCTCTTTCATCAAACCCTTTACTTAAGAAACTTATTTCATGCAAACAATGAGATTGAATAAGTCAAAAAGCAAACTTTTAAAAATGTTTGACTTAAATGCCATGGACAGTCTTCTCCCAAACAACAAATACTTTTAAAGTATGTGGCAATGTCTCATTGTTTTTAACTCAAGTGGCCTATTACACATTATAATACTGGTTGAATAATGTACAGCAAGGTGCGAGAGTGAGGGTGAAGCTACTGACCTCATGAGTCCAATGCTGCGTAGCTGCTCCACCTGAATCTCCTGAGTAACAGGACGGGACACAAGGAGGGGCAGCTCTTCTTGAAGTCTGGGGGTCATCTTATTGTTGTATGCATATTCTATGACATCATAGAAGATAGTGTGGCGAGGTAACACTGTTAATACAATCACAATGACAAAAATAACTAATAGCCAAACCAATGTGCTTGCTGAACATTGCTTATATTTTACATCTCATTACTATTCAGGAGCTTTGTCTTCAAGTAGTTTTTAAGTAATTCACTGAAGTGCTTTAGATTTATTTATAGCTTTTGAGGTAAACTGCTAATACCCAAAATTAACAGGCAAGCATCCTCTTTCCGCATAGGCCATATAAAGATCTGTCTGCTAGAGATAGCTCTTAAAACAAAACGTCAAGGATCACTTTTCTATTCTAACCTGTTTCCATGTATTTTGCTATTTAAAAAAGCAATATATAAAGTTTCCATCTATGGGCGCTCTGTTGTCCAGGTACTACTTGTAATACCTTCGTATTAATGACACAACTCGAGCTCAATACGAGCCAACTTTACTTCAGCCATGTGACGGTCAGTACAAAAACTTGGTCCGGCAATCTCAAATCAACAATACATACAAAACTCGAATCTGTAAACGAAACAGGATCCATTACATCCCCTTTTTTCCATAAGCTAAAAATAAAGATAACACTACTTTAAGTGTCACACTGTTAAATGAAATGTCTGTCTCTCTGAGCACAATAACTTTATCACAAATAAAACCATTATTGCAATTTTAGAGTCACTCAGAGAATCGCTGTGGTCTGAAGATTGGTCGACCACTGGATGAGAATGCAATGGGGTTCCTCGATGGAACAAGGCTTTGCGACACATTCATGTCTGGAGGAGTGTCTGGAGACTGTACAGGAACATTCTCTGGAGTAGCATTAGTTGCTCCTTGAGTGGTTCCATCAGGACTTTGGATAATACTGCAGTCGTCAGGAAGATTTTCCTTTGTTGGAATCAGGTCATGCTTGTTCCGTCGGTACTCTGAGCCACCTTGAGTTCTTACTACCAAAGAACGTGGAGTGCTTGCATATTTCACAACTTTAGCTTGGATCCAGTCCTTCCCTTGCCTCAATCGCACACTGTCATTCACCTGTATTGGTGGTCTTGGATGAGCTCTCTGATCATAGTAGACTTTCTGGGTCTCTCGTGACTGTGAGATTGCTTGTTTCACTACATCACAGTCAACAACTTCAGGTCTGAGCATTGCATATTGCACCGGTAAGTCACTTCTCAACCTGCGTCCCATCAGCAGTTGCGCTGGTGAGGCGAGTCCATTTATAGGCGTATTCCTATAAGCCAACATTGCCAGATATGGATCTGCATGACTCTGCCTAGACTTTCGTAACAGCTGTTTGAGAGTTTGGACTGTCTTTTCAGCAAGACCATTGGCCTGTGGATACAGTGGTGACGACGTTATGTGTTCAAACTTCCACTTGTCACTAAAGGTCTTAAACTCAGCGCAGGCATACTGTGGCCCATTATCAGAGACAACACGCATAGGCACGCCATGTCGTCCAAAGATGGACTTGATATGTGTGATGACTGTAGAAGCCTTTGTGTTGGTTAACAGGGCTACTTCAAAATACCTGCTGTAGTAGTCTACTACTACTAAATACTCTCTTCCATCCATATGGAATAGATCTGTGGCTACTACTTGCCACGGGAGGGTAGGTACTTCACTGGAGATCATGGGTTCCTTACAAGGACTTTTCCTGTGCTCTTGACATACTGCACACTGCTCTACTGTTCTCTCAATATCTTTGTTCATACACGGCCAAAAGATAATCTCTCTAGCTCTTTCTTTCGACTTGGTCATGCCTTGATGACCACTATGAATGCATTGAAGCATTTCAACTCTGAGTTTCGAGGGAATGACTACTTTACTCCCCTTGTACACAATTCCATCAACACAGGAGATTTCCTCTCGAAATGTCCAAAAGTCCTTGACTTGAGCGGAACAGTCTACGTGTGTACCTGCCCAACCATTTTGCACTGCACTAATCACTGCCTGCAGCTGTTCATCTTCAACTGTAGCGGATTTTATCTCAGACATCTTCCTATCTGAAATAGGTAAGCCTGTTGTCACCATATGAACATATGCGCTAACTTCCTCATCAAAAGAGTTCAAGTCTGTCAGCTTTTCTTCTATAAAGTGTCTGGACAGCATATCAGCCACAGGAATGTCTTTTCCTGGAATGTACTTGACAACAACATCATACCTTTGCAGTCTGATTCTCATCCTCTGGAGACGTAGTGGTACAGCGTGGAGTGGCTTCATGAAAATGCTCTCCAATGGTTTGTGATCTGACATGACAACAAATCTTCTACCCATCAAATAATGATGAAATTTCTCACAGCCAAATACTATGGCCATCATCTCCTTTTCTATCTGTGCATAATTGCGCTGACATGACGTCATAGACTTGGATGCAAATGCTACAGGGTGTCCTTCCTGTAACAGAACAGCCCCAACATCATTCTGGGATGCATCCACTTGCAGAACGACTTCTTTCTGGGAATCAAAATATCGCAGAACAGGACCTGGTGATCTTGTGATGAGATCCTTGATCTCTTGGAAGGTTTGTTCATGGTTTGGAGTCCAATTCCACTGACTGTCTTGCTTAATCAGATCACGCAGGATGTGAGTTCTCTCAGAAAGACAAGGGGAATACTGTGCAAGATAAGTGAACATTCCCAGATAACCTTCAAGCTCCTTCTTGCTTGTTGGAGTTGTCATTGTGCGTACTGCTTCAACTTTATCCGGGTCTGGTTTCATGCCATCAGAGGTAAGTATTTCACCAAAGAATTTCACTTCCTGCGAACACAGTTGAGTCTTGTCTGCATTTAACTTGATACCACTTCCTTTTGCAGTCTCAAGAGTGTCCATGAGGTTCTTGTTATGTTCCTCAATGGTTCTGCCACTGATGAGAATATCATCTACTATTGGGTGAGTATAGTTCAGTTTTTCGAAGATTTTGTCCATGCGCTTTTGGAACACTTCACTGGCACTTTTAATTCCAAATGGAAGACGTAAGAACCTATATCTACCACATGGAGTGTTGAACGTGGTTAACATGGAGGAGTCGTGGTCAAGTTGTACTTGCCAGTATGACGATTTCGCATCTAGAACTGTGAAGTACTTGTGGTCAGCAATCTTTGAGGTCACATCTTGTATCGTGGGCATTCTGTAGTGCTCACGTTGTATCGCCTTATTTAGGTCAGCTGGGTCAAGGCACAACCTAATTTCACCACTGGCTTTAGGGACGACCACCATAGAATTTACCCACTCAGTGGGCTCTTCCACTTTCATGATCACTCCCAAGTCCTCCATTCGCTGAAGTTCCACTTGAACTTTCTCATGTAGGGCAATCGGAACTTTCCGTGGAGCATGTACTACTGGTTTCACTTCTGGGTCAAGCTGAATACTGTACTTGTCTTCAAGACATCCTAAGCCTTGGAAGATATCAGGAAACATCCTGAGTATGTTCTCAGAACTACTTGCATCAGTAATCAGGCGTTCAATGTTCAACAGGACTTTTATCAGGTTTAAGTCCTCACAGGCTCGAAGTCCTAACACTGAGGGTGCCTCTTCTTGCACTATATAGAACTTTAGGCGTACAGACACATTTCTGTAACTACAATCCAGGTAAGTCATACCTGCAATTTTCAACCACTTCTGTCCATAGCCGTAAAGCCTTGTGTCCGGTTTCTCAAGAGGACCTGCAAACTTGCAGACTTTTAGAAAGTCTCTCTCTGACATAGCATTAACTTGTGCTCCTGTATCTATCTTCATAGCTACTATGAACTTCTTGTTCACTAGGATATCTGCATATTGTTCTGAATAGTCTTCACCACTTTCACCCTTTCTATCCTCTATTGTCCCAATAAAGAGTTCATCAGTCTCTAAACTGTGGACTTTTGGGTTGCTTTGACCTTGTTTCCATCTTCCGGACCCTCTTGAGTTCTGTGTTTTAGGTGGATTCCTCGCTACTGTTCTGGACCTACAAACTGATGCATAATGTCCAAATTTGTGACACTTCAAACACTCAGCACTTCTTGCAGGACACATGTCATTCTTTGAATGTGATTTTCCACATCTTTCACACATATCACTACTTGTTTTCACACTAGCCTGTGCACTTGCTGATCGCTTCTGACTACTGTCCCCTAACTTTCTCTGATGAGTATAACCACCACTTCTCTTCTGAATGCTACAAACTGCCTCTGACTGAATTTCTTTCATCTGTTTTTTACTCACTTCAAAACTTCTCGCTATTTCAAGGGCCTTATTTACTGTCAAATCTGCTTCTTGTAACAGTCTTTCTTGTACTTGTTTGTTACTCGTTCCACAAACTATTCTATCACGAACCATGTCATCAGCAATCGCACCAAAGGCACAATCTTTCGCGAGGGTTTTGATTTCTGTCACATATGAATCCACTGTCTCATTTTGGCCCTGAACACGTGTATTAAAGCGAAAGCGCATGATTGTCACATTCGTTTTAGGAATACAATAGTTTTCAAATTTTGTGTACATAGGTTGCAATTTTTCCTTTTCTTCATTTGTCAATGTCCAAGTATTAAATACATCTCGGCCCTCCTGACCAATGTACAACAGAAAATAGCTACACTTTTCCTTTTCATCTTTCGCCGCGAGTGGTCCACTGAACAGCAATTCTATCGTCTGTTTCCACTTTTTCCAACTTTCTGCCACATTAGCGGCATCGAAATTCATGGGCGGAATGTCAATTCGACCTGCCATGACTTCTGACACCATGTAATACCTTCGTATTAATGACACAACTCGAGCTCAATACGAGCCAACTTTACTTCAGCCATGTGACGGTCAGTACAAAAACTTGGTCCGGCAATCTCAAATCAACAATACATACAAAACTCGAATCTGTAAACAAAACAGGATCCATTACACTACTGAAGCTGTCGTCAAGCTAATAGTATCCAGGTTCAGGCTGAGCAAGATGTTGTTTGCCTGTTGGTCAATTTTGAAACCACCAGCAGTTGTCTCCCTTTGTATTATAAATTTCCCAATCAGTTCTGACGATAAGTTGGTCAGTTGTATTGCGATGATTGTTATGTGTCTAGTACTCGCTGCTGCCCTGCTCTATGGCTAAAGCATTATAGTTATACATACCATCCAATGTGAGCTTCCGCCAGTAATTTTCTTTCCCTCCCATATATGCAGGTGTCTCATCCACGTTAGCCAAGTACTGTAACACAGACATAAAAGCAGTGGCATTCTGCAAGCATCACATCATGTCTCAATCTATCTTCAAAAATTAAAGCTAAATCATTTGGTGACAGTGAATAAAAATTTACTCACCTGCATATAGTCTTTGAGTGTGGTAACATCCACCTCATCTGAAATATTGTACTGTTGTTGAAAAATTGAATCCTGTAGCATCTGTTCATAAAACAGACGATTACCCATCAGTCGAAGTGAGTCCTCTGCTGCCTGCAAATATACATTAAAACAGTGTACATTGTTGCTTTTCCCCACACAAGCAAATGTTAATGGAAACCAAAATCTAATGCCTAAAATATGAGAGAATCACTTGAGAGTTTCATACTTCTTTGTTCTTTGATCACATCAATCCTTATAAAACATATTTTTTCAGATTTATTCCAGATTTTCGTCCGTGTAGCACAAGTAACTTCACTACTTAAGAAAAGTTCTTGTTGAACAACTTGGACATTCATTCGACAGTGATTCATTGTGAAACAGAACAGCAGCTCGACAGTTGATTTACAGTTGTTTGGCAGTTGTTCATCAGCTGGTTGACAGATGTTCAAGAGTAGTTTGACAGATGTTCAAGAGTAGTTTGACAGATGTTCAAGAGTAGTTTGACAGATGTGCAACAGTAGTTTGACAGATGTGCAACAGTAGTTTGGCAGTTGTTCATCAGCTGGTTGACAGATGTGCAACAGTGGTTTGACAGATGTGCAACAGTAGTTTGACAGATGTGCAGCAGTTGTTTGGCAGTTGTTCATCAGCTGGTTGACAGATGTGCAACAGTGGTTTGACAGATGTGCAACTGTAGTTTGACAGGTATGCAACAGTAGTTTGACAGATGTGCAACAGTAGTTTGACAGATGTGCAACAGTAGTTTGACAGATGTGCAACAGTAGTTTGACAGGTGTGCAACAGTAGTTTGACAGATTTGCAACAGTAGTTTGACAGATGTGCAACAGTAGTTTGACAGGTGTGCAACAGTAGTTTGACAGATGTGCAACAGTAGTTTGACAGATGTACAACAGTAGTTTGACAGATGTGCAACAGTAGTTTGACAGGTGTGCAACAGTAGTTTGACAGGTGTGCAACAGTAGTTTGACAGATGTGCAACAGTAGTTTGACAGGTGTGCAACAGTAGTTTGACAGATGTGCAACAGTAGTTTGACAGATGTGCAACAGTAGTTTGACAGGTGTGCAACAGTAGTTTGACAGGTGTGCAACAGTAGTTTGACAGATGTGCAACAGTTGTTTGGCAGTTGTTCATCAGCTGGTTGACAGATGTGCAACAGTGGTTTGACAGATGTGCAACAGTAGTTTGACAGGTGTGCAACAGTAGTTTGACAGATGTGCAACAGTAGTTTGACAGATGTGCAACAGTAGTTTGACAGATGTGCAACAGTAGTTTGACAGATGTGCAACAGTAGTTTGACAGTTGTGCAACAGTAGTTTGACAGATGTGCAACAGTTGTTTGGCAGTTGTTCATCAGCTGGTTGACAGATGTGCAACAGTGGTTTGACAGATGTGCAACAGTAGTTTGACAGGTGTGCAACAGTAGTTTGACAGATGTGCAACAGTAGTTTGACAGATGTGCAACAGTAGTTTGACAGATGTGCAACAGTAGTTTGACAGATGTGCAACAGTAGTTTGACAGTTGTGCAACAGTAGTTTGACAGATGTGCAACAGTAGTTTGACAGTTTGTGTGGTTATGTATTATTCTACCATGACTTGAGTAAATACTTGATTCTGATTAGTTAATTAAAGTCAATCAGAAGTATAAAGTCACATTATACAGGTCTCTGATTTTCAGGTGAGCAATAATACATATTTTACGGTAATGCACTTTTTTCATTTCCCATCAACATGGCGGACAGCAAACAAACTAACGACACAACAATGGATTACGGCGAATTTGCTGTCGGAAATTTTACATCTGTTTTTGAAGAAGGATTTAGTGATGATGAGCTCAACTCTTTACTTGCGCAAATCACTGAATCAGGTGATTATGTAAACAAATTACTCTACAAGCAGAGAAAAAAATATTCAGTTGAACTAGGCTAAATTTAAAGATCGTCTGCTTTCCTAAAATTTCAGCAAAAAATACATTGTTATGTTAATTCCAGATAATGGCAAAAATAGATGAAGCTATTGCTTGTAAAATAAATTACATATTTAAATGAATTTTTTGTCAGATTTCGTTGAGGATATGACCACTGACCATGACCTGTTAACGGAGGATAGGGCAACATCAACATCGAACATTGTAGAAAAGCCTTCAGTCCACATAAACATTGACACTTTGGGTAATAATTCAAACCATATATGCCTATTTAGGAGAAAAATGTAATGTTTTGAAATCAGCAGTAGTATATGATAATTATAACAGCTGTAAAGTTAATTTAATACTAGTGACTTAGGCCATACATGATGTTTTTCTCAAAAAAATAATTTTATATAGAAAGACTTATTCAGTCATGACCCCATTGTTAATTACATTGCTTGAACTACATTAATCTTCTGTGTACATTAATTTGTTCGCAAATAATAAATTAGTTAAAAAATATTTCCAACAGATGCCAATAAGGGGATTGAAACGTCAATGTCATCAATGGCAAGCAGCTTTGTAGCAAATGACGAGAGCCTGGATTCAATTTTCCTGGAAGGGAGTAAAAGAAAACACTTGAGACTACACATTGGGGTGTTAAGATCTTTAAACATGAGGAAATATATTACAAGTATTTGATGTATAGCTACTATCTATAGACCTAATTATATCAATAATAAATCAACAAGTCAATAAAAATAGGTAACTCTAGGCCTATTCATAGAAAAGTCAATAAAATTGAATGATTAAACCATGTAGCTCCAAATGAATAGCTCTCTATATAATTATTTATCTGCAAAATTAACCCTCAGGCCTAAATTATTATCACAACTTCTGCCTGATATGTATTAATTCCTTCCTATTCAGAATGGCTGAGTGGAAATGGAAAATTCCAGTGACTTAAAATCACTTCCAGGTGAATGCACGCCTAAGGCACTTTTATGCGGAAGTCCGTACTGCAGATGGCCAGTTTTATTCAAAATCATCCTTTGTTGGTCTGAGTGCGGAGATACATTGTCACATTTGCGCTCTACCATATCAGCAGTATATTAACATATTGCAAGAACAGGTCTTCCATACAGCCAACAATATGTTTCTCAGCATGCTGAGAAAAGTAAAACAACTTGGCCATGACAACGCATCCCAACATGAGGCCATTTCTTGTGGGGATATGTCAAATTAGGGAATGTCAGTCTGTAGATTCACCAGTCAATCTTCAGCGTAATGTTTGGTTTGACATTACTTTAGGGTTTGGTCACCGAGGTTGCGAAAATCAGGGAGAATCATCTCTGACTTCGTTTACCATTGAAACAGACGATGTCAGGGTAGATTACATCAAAATGAAACACTCAAGAGGCTACAAAAAATCATCCAGGGGGCTCACAGGATAAGGGACAGGCGAAACCATGCATGCCACCGGTACAACCTCATGCCCTGTTGCATCCTTTTGGAAATATCATTCGAAATGATATCCAAAATAATCCTGCTTTCTTTTAACAGCCTTGCAAACATGCCAGTCACACCAGGTCACAACACACTTTCACAAATGATGAAAACCATATCCACTGAATCGCAGTTGAGCAAAATTTACACCAATCACTGTGTAAGAGCCACCAAGTGACCCTTTTGTCAGACACAGGCGTAGATGCGAGTGAAATCATAAAGTTGACTGGGCACAAAAATCAAGAGTCTACAAATTTGTACAACACCAACTCCTCGTCAAATCAAAAGTGTTTCTATACTTATCCATTTTGGAAGGTGCCAGTAATCAGGTTTCCACTACTGTCAGTTCTCAGTCATACAATCAAGTTAATCTTGCACAAACTGTCAAGCGTGCTTCGGATGTATCTTTTGAAATTTCCAGCTGCACTGTAATGGTAAACACTTACTTCCGAGAATAGGTCAAGGTCGGGTTCATTACTCGGGTGGGCAAAGGGTCTACGTTGGAAACTCAAAATGTAAACTAAGATCTTTGAAATTATCAGTTATTCCTGAGTGACGAATACAGTGAATAAACAAAACATTCATTGTTATTTCTGAACCTGGTGTTTGTTAGTTATTGACAGTTTAACAACCAGTCACCCCTTGACGGGTGAAATCACAATTGGAATGCGAGGTCACATCTTGTACTGACACCAAAGCCATAAATGAGTTCTAACTACAATTGTTAATACAATTGTCATGGTAGAATGGAGATAAACTTTCCTGGTACAGTGTTTTGAAATTGGAGATATAGTAGCTCTAAATTTAACATTTAACACGTTTCTCCTAATTAGATGCTTGCAATTAGTATGATAGACCTCATGAAGTTATTGCGCTACTGAGCATGTCTAAGTCCACATGTAAAAAAGACCTCCATTACGCATGTTAGATCTACAATGTTACAGATAAAGTAATCTGTTTGAACCATTTATCCTTGGTTATTTACAACAAATACACGACAATTTGGCCACAAGTACAGGATTGAAGAACATGAAATGGCTGCTTTTGGTCAAATAGAACACTACGAAAATAGTGCCTGCGACATCAAGATATACATAAACATTGTTAGTGGCTCCGGCAAACAGGACACAAAGACATTCAAGGAATTGTATGAGTGTTATTGTCACATTTTGCACCAACAAAAATTAAGATTTCTGAACATTCTCGTTTCTACAATCAGAATTGGAAATTGCTAACTGAGAATCCCACAATTTTAAAACTGGACTTAGCAACCCACGTGACATCAGTGAACAAGTGATCAGTGATCAGTGAACAAGGTGACTGACAAGCGAAGAGCCAATCACTGAAGAGGGGCAGGGCAACAACAGACAAGTGTTGGAGATGTGGATACACGAAACACGAACCAGAAATGTACCGATACAAGACTTTTATTTGTGATTCTTGTGGAATAGTTGGACATTTGCAATCAGAATGTAAATGAAAGAAATGTTCTTCAACTATATGTTCTCTCCAAGCAAAATTTGAAGATTAATTTGCCAAATTAGAAGCAGACGGTGTAATTTCCAAGGGAAAACAAGTGAGTCGGCTAAACCTATACTTATAGTGGTTATTTCCAAATTATCAGGAGATGTCAGAATTTGCGGTGACTTCAGTCACATTAAACCAGTGCACTGAAG